CGAGAGGACCGACCCTTGCGGCACCCCTGCCAACACAGACTGCAACCGGTCAGAGAGATAGGAGGAGAACCACCGCAACACGGTGCCTCCCACCCCCAATCCCTCCAGCCGGCACAGCATGATACCATGGTCGATGGTATCAAAAGCCGCTGAGAGGTCTAACAGGACCAGAACAGAGGAACAACCCCTGTCCCGAGCCCTCCAGAGATCATCCACCAATGCGACCAATGCCGTCTCCATGCTGTACCCAGGCCTGAAGCCGGACTGGCATGGATCTAGATAGACGGTTTCATCCAGGTACTGTGGGAGCTGTCGCGCAACCATACTCTCCACAACCTTCGCAACAAAGCGAAGGTTGGAGACCGGACGATAGTTTGCCAAAATGGCCGGGTCCACAGAAGGCTTCTTGAGGAGGGGCCTCACCACCACCTCTTTCAAGGCGGGAGGCAAGAAACCCTCTCTCAGAGAAGCATTTATAATCCTCTGGATCCAGTCTCATGTTCCCTCCCGGGTGGCCAGTACCAGCCAGGAGGGGCACGGGTCCAATAAACATGTGGTTGCATTTAACCTCCCCAGGATTCTGTCCATGTCCTCAGGAGTCACAGGGTCGAACTCATCCCAGGTAACATTCTCAAGACCAGCCTCAGTCACCCCGCCAGGATCTACCCAGTCAGAGTCCAAGCCTTCCCGAATCTGAGCGATTTTATCGTGCAGATACTGTGCAAAATCCTCAGCCTGCCTTTGCAAGGGGTCTTCCCGCGCTCCCTGATGTAGGAGGGAGCGAGTCGCCCTAAACAAGGTGGCTGGGCAGTTATCTGCCGATGCAATAAGAGCGGAAAAGTGGTTATGCTTTGCCGCTTTTATCGCCACTAGATAGGTCTTAATATGAGACCTAACTAGTGTTCGGTCAGATTCGGAGCGACTAGCCCTCCAACCACTCTCTAGGCGTCTTTTCCGGCGTTTCATCTCCCTCAGCTCCTCGGAAAACCAAGGGGCCAGGCAGGTTCGGCGTTGAGTCAGAGGCCACAAAGGCACGACTCAGTCCAGAGCACCGGCGGCCATCCTATCCCAGGCAGCCACCAGATCTTCAGCCGAGTCATGAGCCAGAGTTTCAGGAACTGGCCCAAGCTCCCTCTGGAACCTATCAGGATCCATCAGGCGCCTGGGCCGGAACCACCTGGTCGGTTCCGCCTCCCTGCAGTGGGGTGCAGCGGTCAAAAAGTCCAGCCTCAGGAGAGAATGGTCCGACCATGACAGGGGTTCAGTAACTATATCCCCTATATCCAGACCACTCAGCCACTGACCAGAGATAAAAACCAAGTCCAGAGTGTGTCCTCCCGTGTGAGTGGGGTCATGAATTAATTGTGTCAGGTCCATGGCTGTCATGGAAGCCATAAACTCCCAAGCCATCCCAGACACCTCACCGGTAGACGGCAGGTTGAAATCCCCCATGACCAAAAGTCTGGGGGTATCAACCGCCACCCCGGCAATAACGTTGAGAAGCTCGGGCAGGGCCGCTGTCACGTGGCAGAGAGCCAGGTACGTGATCAGCAGGCCCACCTGCATCCCATGGCCCCACTTCACCAGAAGAGACTCACATCCGGCTATCTGAAGTACAGTGGCCTCCCTTGGATCAAGACCTTCCTTTATAACGACCGCCACCCCCCCACCCCTGCCCTGGGCCCTTGGCTGATGGAATGCGTGGAAACCTGGTGGGCACATCTCTACGAGGGGGACCCCCCCCTCTTGGCCCAGCCAGGTCTCTGTAATACCTGCCAGGTCCGCACCCCCCTCCTGTATTAGCTCACAAATGAGGGGGGCCTTATTAACCATGGACCTGGCGTTGCACAGCATCAGTCTAAGGCCTGGGCTCTGAAACTCTGGACAGCCGGGGAGACGAGAAGAGTCATTGGGGCCGAGGCATGCCACCGCTTGGAGATAGCGGGTGCGTGCCGCCACCACCTGATGTGGCCCCTACTCCCGCCATATCTGCCCCTCCCAACCACGGTCCTGATAGAATCACCCTCCACCCTATCAGCACTGAGCTCCTCCACACCCCGCTCCCCGCCTTCCGTTCCATGCCCCTGTAACAAGCCTGACCTATGCCCCTCCCTCCCCACCCCTGCCCTAAACCCCTTAAAAGATTACAAAAAGACAATTTTTAAAAACCCCACAACTCCCTCTTTGCGGCATGCCACCTCTCGGGGTTCCAAAGCCCGTCATCGAGGTAGGCCCTCGATAGAGTGGAGGGCCAAGCCTGCGAGAGGGGGGAGTCTCACAGACCAAGAAGCTCCACTGCGGAATACATCTTGACCACAGAGGATGGGAGCAACCATATCCTAGGGTTCCATATAGAAGGTCCAGGGGAGAGACATGGAATGGGAGTCTCAAAAGCATTTTCAACAAGACCAGGTCCACTGTCCCCTCACAACAGAGGACGAAGTCAGGTTCCAGGTTGACCACAGTCCAAGGGGGGGGGATAGACCCAACCACCCTCTCACAGTGGTCCGATCAACCAGTCGACCCCCTCTTGTGGTGAGATGGCAGCGATGAACCAATGCAGACAGCACAGCACCCGGGGCTCAGGTCCAAAAACTGCCCTCTCACTGTGCTGCCATGAATAGAAGCCCCTCGGAGCTCCTCATGGGATGGAGAATCCGATCACAGTTGGACTGAATGCATCTGAATTATATTGCTGACACTCCCCCTGACTCCACTGGGAAAATTAGGAAGTTTGGAATAGGGGACAAGGTCTATGCCCATATTTATGCCAGGGATGGTCTCTGGATTCCTGGCACAGTTGTGGAACTATCTGGTCCTCGCTCCTACAAAGTTGAGCTAGAGGACGGGAGATTGTGGTGTCGGCTTGGGGACCAACTCCGAGGCCGGATTTCAAACTCTCTGCTTTGTACACCAGACCAAACTCAAACTGACAAGCAGTCAGACCCTGACTGTTCTAAACTGTTAAATCCAATGTCTAACACTAACTCAAACCCAATTGTACAGCTTGATTGCCCACCTGTGGAACCAAGACTCCAGCGCAGACTTCCCGAGGGGTTGGGCCTTCCAACTCCTACCACGCCTAGCGATGTGTTCCAGGAGGTTCCATTTGCGGGTCCAGAGACTGCAACTAATCCACCCACTCAAGTCAACCCCCAGGAACAAACTGAACTGTGCATGTCTACTAGGGCTCACACCAGCCCCACTTACCTGTGTGATTACGTCTATAAATATGTATATATATTGACTTAAGTAATTGTATTCTGGGAGGGGAGGGGTGTTATGTATCATAGGAAGTGATATGACCATATAAGGAGTGAGTCAAAGGCTTCACTCAGGTTCTCCAAAACAGTGGGAAAATACTTGAAGCTCATTGATTAAGATGTCTGGCAGCCCTCTATAAAAGAGGACACTGCCAGACAAGCAGATTGTTGGGTTACACTGGTCTACTAATAAAGAGCTGTTGTCACTAAAGAAGCTGTGTCCGTCTCTTCCATCATTGAATCTAATAAATGTTATATACATATATGTATATGGGAATGTGTGTTAATTGTTACTTATTTGGGTTTAGGGATTTTCTTTTCTTTTATTTGAGTTTATTTTGAATTATTGGGATGTTTCTGTGTTTTTTTGGGGGGGGGCTGCACCAAGGGAGGCTCATACAATCTCATTGTACACATGTTGTCCTTTGACAATAAAGGTTTGATTTGATTTGAAAAATGTCAAATCCAGTTTAAACTTCCAGCTGACTGTATGACCAATCATAATAATAGAAATGTTTCAGTAATAATATAGCCTAGGATCTAGAATATAAGATAGTTAAAAGTATTTTAATATCTAAGCAATTAAAAATCCAACTGTAAAGAAAGATATATAGGTTATAGATTTCAAACTGAAGGATTATAACATTATTTTAATATTTTTCAGGCATTTGGCTACTTTTTTCTTATGTATATATTATATTAAAGTTACTTATGAGTGATATTTAATCAAAATAATAAGTTTCATATGCATGCTTAATGTAGGTAATGCCGGTCCAGCTAGATGATCACTGAAGGGTCCTCTTTATTCATAGTATTGTAAGAAAGAAAATGTGCTTGTTTGAGAGAAGCAAATGTATCCAGTAGAAATAGTACAAAGGCAGACAAATTCCTTTGAAGTAGAAAAATTCTATAAGAGGGGCCCCTCAGTTGTCAGAGATAGAGACATTTGGTGATATACAGTTTGAAGGTTAAAGAGACCAAGGATGACCACATGAAATATCAACAAGAGATAATTTGAATCTATGCTTCGGTGATTTACAAGAAGAATTATGACTGTTTGGCAAAGATAATGTAACAAACTTAGTAATTAGAAAAATGTCATTTGATGTAACGAATGTCTGCAATGATAAAACTGCTGAGTTAACAGAATCCTTTGTTTTAGAAGTGTATAAAACCATTGTAACAAAGTTCTCATTTTGTTCAAAGCTTCATGTATAAAACTGGCTCTGAACCTATTGTGCAATAAACTGGCTCTGACTAACCTAGGAATGTTATTTGGTCTCACCATTCCACAACATGCTTGTTTAAATGCTTCTTCATATTCTTTTATTTATATTCATCATCATTATCATCATCCTAGCCACTGTCTGTCCACTGCAGGATGAAGTGGATCTTCTGCACGTTTCCAACCAATACAGTCTTGAGCTTTCCTTTGCCAGTTGGTCCAGCAATGCTGGCTGATGTTTATGCTTATAATATAACGTAATATAACATATTATATTAATCTAACAGAAGGTGAGGAAAGTTTGCAGAGCATGGCTTCTGGAATTTTTTCCAACACTTAGTAGGGTTAATCTCTCCCTCCTCCCTTTCTCTCTTTTTCTCTTTCTCTCCCCCCACCCCGCCCCGGTGTGATTGTGTGTGTTTGTGTGAGAGAGAGAGAATTAAAAATATATCAAAAGACTTATAATGGAAAAAATATATTAAGTGATATAGTCTTATAATCTTTCTTCCTAGATTTATCGACATGGAGATAGAAGTCCTATTGAAAACTATCCCAATGGCTTACACAGTGAAAGTGAATGGCCACAGGGATTCGGGCAATTGACTAAGGTTTGTTGGTTTTCTATAATAGTAAAGACAATAAACAATACATATAATAAAGGTATGTGATTTATAATTAACTTTTATTGATTGACATATAACAGTTACATAACCTTCTCGAGCACTGTACATTTAAGATACATTTGATGCCAACTCTTAGAATCCCTCCTCAGCATTTATTGTTCTGTTACAGTTTGTTCAAAGTGAAAAAGAACTAGGACAGAATTCAAACAGTTTTTTTAGAACATAAATTCGTATTTTCAAATTTTGATCTCAGATGAATGAATAAAATGGTATAAAGAATTAGCCCCAAATTCATAAATTCTGAGACTAATAGAGAAATCTAACCTTTTTAAAGAACCAAGAGAGAAGAATTAATATTCTGGGCCTGGACAATACAGCCGAATTCCATAAAAATGTATCTGTCCACTCATCTATCTGTTCTCTGGCCATCCATCTTTCTGTCATGCCACCTGCCCGGCTAAAATCAGCAGACATCTATTTTAGCAGAGTGATATAGGAAGATGTCAGAGGCAGATGATCACTGTGGCTAATTCATACTGTGCAGAAGAAGGCAATGCTAAATCATTCCTGTATTTTTACCAAGAAACTACATGGATAAAATACAAAATGATTGATGATATAGTGCCAAATAATGAGCCCCACAGGTCAGATGATACTCAACATGTCACTGAGGAATTGAACATCTTTCCAAATATGAACGATGTTTTAAGACATGGCTAGATCAGCATTTCACAAACTTTTTCAATCATGGAACACCTTAGAAGACAATCCCCCTCCCCAATGGAATTCCTAACTCTATTCCTGAGCTTTAGTAAGCATTGTAAACCACAATGTTTTTCCTTCTTTCATCTACTCCTAATTCTTGAGTGTTTTGCATAATGCAGTAGGTCTGGAAATAAAGAGAAAGCATTTTAAATATAACTGCAAACCTCTATTTTGGTACAAGAAAACATTGGCTATAACCAAAGACATTTATTTTTGTCCAAGAAAACATTGGATTTACATCCAGTTTGATGAATGAAACAGCTTCATTTTTTATTTAACTATTTAAAATAGTTTTGAAATTGGGCTTTATGTCTAACAGCTAAATATGTAAATATGGGGTGACATACAATTTATGCCTAAATTTATTTTTGGTATAAGCATAAGCTGAAAACTCTGATTCACATCAATAGGTGAATGGGAAGGGAAGGGAAGCAGAGCTCAGATAGCTTTTTGGCTACTAATGGGTATATGTTTATCAGTCCCATCCAAAAGTCATTCAGTGGTAAAAATTCAAAATTTGTTTTTAAAGCACTGAATTTCAATAAGATCTTCATACTCTGGCATAAGCAAGATGTGGACTTTATTTTGGTTGACGAATGGATTTTTTTTTCCCACTCAATGTTTCAGTTAGTGTCTGGGAAGTATTCCAATAGGGATTTCATGAGATTCATTAAATGCTCATAAATGTTTTTGTGCACATTCGTGTCAGGAGTGAAACATGGGCAGCTACGTGCGTCTTCATTTCAACTTGTCATTAGAATAAGGGAGGGGGATGTTGACTACGAATGGGTTAATTTGGAGAAATGAAACTTCTGCAGTTCCATGGGAGCTTGCAAGACACTGGAAACTTTTCAAGGTCATATCAACAGTTGTGAGGAAGAAGACAGATGGTTCCCATAACAAAGATAATTCGTTTACATGGTCTACATGGAAGCCTGGGAAATTCATTGTTTAATATTGTGAACTGGTGCCTTAGAAATTCAGAGTTAGTTTTACCTCACCATTCTTTTTTTGGGGGGGGGATTTTTTTTATTTTTAAACAAAAGTTAAAACATAAAATAATTATCATCCATTACAATTACAGAAAGTGTATTGATCGGTTACGAATCTTTTGTGCTTAATCCTCTATCCCACATTTTCTTATTTAACAATTTATTACATTATTATTCTCTCTTTTTTTTTTATTGAAAAGTTTTATGAAAAATACAAACATTTTCACCCCCCACCCTTCCCCCCTCAACCCCCCCTCCCCTTCCCACTCTCCCTTCCCCTCCCTCCCCCACCCCCCTCCCTAGACTTCCCAGAACGAGCACAGGGTATAGCATTCACAAACCAAGAACTAAAATGTGCTAACAAATTATTACATTTCATATTCTCCCTAGGTCCTTAACTCCTTATAACTCAAAAAAAAACAAACATAAACTACTTAATATTATTTCATTCATAAGCTATATGAATCTTCTTATTCGGATACTTCTTCTGTATGTAATCAATCCATTTTCTCCATTCCGATATATATCTCTCATTTGAATGGTCTTTAAGGTATGATGAAATTTTTGCCATTTCCGCCAAATGCACAACTTTTAATGTCCATTCCTCAATAGTAGGTGGATCTTCCTTCTTCCAGTACTGTGCCACCAGTAATCTGGCAGCTATTATTAAGTTCAAAACCAGCTTAGTCTCTATTACAGTACAATCCGTAACTATTCCCAACAGAAAAAACTGTGGTGTAAATTTAATTTTTTTCTTCAAAATATTTTGAATAATCCACCATATTTTTATCCAAAAAGCCTTAATCTTTTTACATGTCCACCATATATGAAAATATGTAGCATCTTCACACTCACATCGCCAACACTTGGGTTGTAAATTTGGATACATACAAGCTAGTTTTTTTGGGTCTAAATGCCATCTATAAAACATTTTGTAAAAATTCTCCCTTAAATTTTGTGCTTGTGTAAATCTTACATTTCTAACCCATATCTTTTCCCATGTTTCCATCATTATTGGTTCACCTACATTTTGTGCCCATTTTATCATACAACCCTTGACTAAGTCTGTTTCTGAATCTATTTCCAATAATGCATTGTACAACCTTTTTATGTGCATTTGACCTTCATCTCTTATTTGCTTTATCAAATTCTCATCCTGCTGCAAAATACCAATTTTTTGATCTTCTCTCCATCTAGCCAGCAGCTGTCCATATTGAAACCAAGTCTTAATAGTCCCTTCTTCTTTTAATTGTTCCATGGATTTTAACTGTAGTCTGACTCCTTCCTTATAAAGGAGTTCCTTATATGTAATCTTATCTTGCTTTTGCTCTAAATTTATGTTCTCTATCGCGTGTCTGGGTACTGTCCATATTGGTAACCTATCATTTAGTTTATATTTATACTTTTTCCAGACACGCAATAGAGCATTTCTTAATATATGACTTTTAAAAGTCTTATCTACTTTCTTATCATACACTAAGTAAGCATGCCAGCCATAAACCAAACCATATCCTTCAATATTCAATATCTTTTCCTCCGTTAAGTTTATCCAATCTGTGATTGCTGAGAGGGCAGCAGCTTCATAATACAATCTTAAATTGGGCATCTTAAGACCACCTCTTTCTCTAGTATCTTGCAATATCTTTTGTTTGACTCGTGGTTTCTTCCCTGCCCACACAAACTTATTTATGCCCTTCTGCCATTCCTTCAAATTCTCATCTTTTTTAAGTATTGGTATCATTTGAAAAAGAAATAGAAATTTTGGTAAAATATTCATTTTTACAGCAGCTATCCTTCCCAACAAAGACAGTTGTAGTTTTTTCCAGTTGTCCATCTCTTTCTGTATTTTGTGCCATAATGGTTCATAGTTATACTGATATAATTTCGTATTTGCGGTCATAATATAGACCCCCAGATATTTAACCTTCTTAACTACTTCAAATCCTGTTAACCTTTCTATCTCTTCTTTTTGGCTCCTAACCATATTTTTAGCTATTATTTTTGTTTTAGCTGCATTTATTTTTAAACCAGATACTTGTCCGTATAAGCAGGTTATATCCATCAAGGCTGTAATCGATTGTACCGGTTGGGTTAAGGTAACAACCAGGTCATCCGCAAATGCTCGTACCTTGTATTCATGCTGTCTAATTTTAATTCCCTTAATTGTATTCATCTCGCGTATCTTGTTTAATAAAATTTCCAGCGTCAAAATGAACAATAACGGGGACAAGGGACAGCCTTGCCTTGTTCCTTTTTCTATATTAAAAACATCTGTTAAACCACCATTAACTATTATTTGCGCTGTTTGTTTTTGATATATTGCCTTAATAGATTGTACAAATTGTTCTCCAAATTGCATCCTTTCTATTAGTTTAAGTAAAAATTGCCAATTCAATCTATCAAAGGCTTTCTCAGCATCCAAGAACACAAGCACTGCGGGGACCTGGTTGTTCCTTCCCAAATACTCTAATAAGTTAACAATTTGCCTTACATTACCCTTCATTTGTCTACCATTTATAAAACCAGTTTGATCATGGTGAATCATTTGCTGCATGACTGTCATTAATCTATTTCCAAAATTTTTGCAAATATCTTATAGTCTGTATTTAATAATGAAATTGGCCTGTAATTTTTAGGATCTGTATCGTCATGCCCTTCTTTTGGGATCAACGAAATAAATGCTGTCTTCCAAGTTGGAGGTACCTCTCCTCCCTGTTGTATATTGTTAAATAATTCTTTCAGCGGTTCTATCATTTCCTCCTGTAGGGTTTTATAGTAAATAGCCGTCAAACCGTCCGTCCCAGGAGCTTTACACACTTTCAACTGCTTAATTGCTAACGCAATTTCCTCAGAAGTTATCGATTGATTTAAACTATCCCTCTGCTCATTTGAAATTGTATAAATATTCTCTTTCTGCAAATATCTATCTATATCTATATCTTTAATTTTGTCACCAGTATACAGCCTCGAATAAAACTCTAAAAAAGATTTTTTAATCAATTGTTGCTCATAAACCTCTTTACCCTTATATTTTATTCTCTCTATTGTCCTTGATTTTTGCTTTTTCCTTAACAAATATGCTAACCACCTGCCTGGTTTGTTGGCATTGTAAAAAGTATTATGTTTTGCATATCTTAAATTAGTTGCCACTTGATCTGCTATTAACATATTAAATTGACCTTTCAATAAATTGATTGCCTCTTTAATTTTCTTATCTGTTGGATTAGC